ATTTGGTTGCCCTGAATATCTTGTCGAAAGTCCCGATCCATTCCTCGAGGGTCGTGGGGTCTTCGTTCCCCGAGAAGGTGGGTGGTTGGTGCGCCGAGACCTGGTGGTGAATTTCCAAGTTCTCGTTTGTTGATAAAGGTTGGGGAACGGTAGTACTCAGTGCCTGGGCAATTTGGGCCAGGCGTTGCAGATTCTGAGTCAAGAATTCCTGCGTGGGGAGTTCCGGTGTTCCTACCTGTCTTCCTTTCGATGCCATCCTGGTGTTCATAGGTCGATGTTATTTTGCATTCTTACCTTGACGCAATAAGCGGAGGGGGAGTTTCTTTAAGTTAGAGAGGAATAAAGTGAGGGGGTTATGTGTAGGTTTCACAATCTCACCACGCGTCCTAAGATTCCTGGTCCTATGTTCCTAAATACCTAGAGTTCCAGCCTAGTGTCCTAAAGTCCGGTCTTAAGAGTCTTATCCTAGGGTCAAACTTAGGCTCTGATACCAACTGTAACACCCCGAAATTTTTAAACTTTTGAAGCTTATATAATAAAGGTAAGTTCTCATTAAATCCCAAAACATAATATAAAGAGTACGGGGTGCTATGCCACACCTGAACTAGAGAACTTAGGTGCACAGGCTAACTAACTAATATCCTCAATAATGTAAATATATAAGCGTGGCATGCAGGCCGAAAGGGAAACTATCTACTTCTATGCTTCAAGACTCTAGCGCGCTCCAGTGTCTACTCCTCTGTGCCTGAAAGCCAAATATATCTGTTCAGCGAGAGATGCTGGTAACCCACTCCAACGCGTTGAAATACAATACATATAGAGATATATATAGATATATGAAAACCATTTTGAACATGAAGATATATCCTACGAACTCTAGCTTTTAAAACAGGGGTAGACTCGACAGATAGAGCTAAGCACAGACGACAGTTATACCAAGCATATACAGTTTACAACAGGCAAGACAGGTAAAGATAAGCACAATAAATTATCATAACCCAACATATACAATTCACAGTATAGATCCCATAGTCACATCCCCAATACACTCATAACAACAACTCATCCATACTTCATCACATAGCACACTTTGTTGGCGCCACAGGACCAATCACATGCCCATACATGAGGGTCAACGCATATAGCTCTGACACGGCCCCGCAGCACCCTGCCCCGTATCGCAACACGGAGGGGTCGATCGCAACCGACCGATGAACCGCAGCTCATCATAGTTTGATCGCAACCAAACAGTGGACCGCAGCCCAAGAGTATGTCATCTGACTGCAGCCAGGAAATACGAACCGCAGCCCAAGAGTGTAAATCTGACCGCAGCCAGCTTCTGAACCGCAGCCCAGGAATAACCAATCCGATCGCAACCGAATTGGGGTATCATGCACACATAACACATAGCAAGCACATGCAACCCACATTAACACATTAGGAAGGGGGAGAAAACGTATAACAAAACCTATGCGTGATCCTTCACCTACTAAGAATAATCCTAAGGGGTTCACACTTCTTTCACCTAGGTCAACGAGATACCAATTCAATTAGCATGCAATATATAAAACTCATACAACCTACGAACGATACCCGAAATATCAAACTAGACATAGGCACGATAGACGGAGTCCGTTGGGACACCACGGGGTTCGGGGGAACATCAAACGGGGAAGCCAAAATCCCAAATTGGGTATTTTTTCCAGCGGTTAGCCGGTGGGTGAGAGTTCACCCGCCGGCTGCCCGCCGGCGGATGCCTTTTCGGGCAGCGGGTGCCCGGCGGGCAGCTGCCCGCCCGCCGGCTGCCCGCTGCCGGCGACGCCATCTTTAGCTGCGGGTAGGTGGCGGGTCCCCTACCCCCACTGACTCTTTCATCACCAAAAACGCCCCGGGAACCTTTGTGGAACCCGGAACCATGCTTAGACACTTTTAAACACAATTGACAAAAACACGTAGACAATTAACGGATCAAAGCGAGGAACATACCGCACATAACCTATTATGCTTTTCTAAACATAATTAACACCCAAACATGCGATTTACCACCCAACACACCAAGAATAATATCATACGATACAACCTAGGGTTCTAATCACTTTTAAATCAACAAGGACACAATTCATCTTCTAATATCAAGATTCGGTAAGAATATCACATAAACATCAAGAACATCCTACAATCATCAAGAACATCATATAATCATCAAGAACGTCATATAATCATCAAGAACACCATAATTATCAAGAACCTCTCATCATCAAGATCACCCATGGAATCATCACACCAATCATCAATAATAATATCACAAATCATCAACACACAATAATATGGGGAAATCCTAAGAGGGGAATCATAGCTATGAAAATAGGTTTTGTTGAGACATGGGTTACCTCTTAGCCTTAATTGATTCCTTGGCTATGAAGGGTCTTTCTTTAAGCTTTCTTCTTTCTTGATTTCTCCTAGGGGAATTCTTGGAATTCTTGGTGTGGTGAGAGATTATTGTGGTGGGAGTTCTAGGTGCCTCCTTATGTTCCCTATTTATATATCTAAGAGTCTTACTTAGGGCCTAATTACTATAGGTTTGCTAACTCTATTCCTTTTAGGACTAAGGATTGGGTTTAGGGATAAGGGCCCATGGACTATGGTGGGCCTTTCCTAATTAATTATTGTGATTTAATTCTTTCTTTTGGGTAATTGGTTAAATGATTAATTGGTTTTTAGGGATCGTAACACGGGGTGTTACATCCACGATCTTCTAGCGCGCTCTGGGATCTACTCGTCTGTGCCTGAAAGCCAAATATATCTGTTCAGCGAGAGATGCTGGTAACCCACTCCAACGCGTTGAAATACATTATAGATAGATATATATAGATATAAGAAAAGTCATTTTCAAGAAGGAAGATATATCCTAGGAAACTCTAGTTTCAAAACCGGAATAGACTCGACAAATAGGGACTAGCACATTCAACAGTTATAACCAAGCATGTAAAGATACTAGCATATATCCTATGGGATAGGTACATTCAACAGTTGTAACCAAGCATGTAAAGATACTAGGATATATCCTATGGTCACAGATTCAATCATCTCATTTATATCATCATTCAACTCATCACACAAGCACACTTTGTTGGCGCCACAGGACCAATCGCATGCCCATACATGAGGGTCAGCGCATATAGCTCTGACATGGCCCCGCAGCACCCTGCCTCGTATCGCAACACGAAGGGGTCGATCGCAACCGACCGATGAACCGCAGCTCATCATAATGTTTGATCGCAACCAAACAGTGGACCGCAGCCCAAGAGTAGTCATCTGACCGCAGCAAGGAATATGAACCGCAGCTCATGTAAAACGTTTGATCGCAACCAAACGGTGGACCGCAGCCCAAGAGTGTAATTCTGACCGCAGCCAGCTTCTGAACCGCAGCTCAGAAATAACCAATTTGATCGCAACAAAATTGGGGTATCATGCACACATAACACATAGCAAGCACATGCAACCCACATTAAAACATTGGGAAAAGGGGAGAAAACGTATAACGAAACCTATGCGTGGTCATCCACAAACTAGGAATAATCCTAAGGGGTTCATACATCTTTCACCTAGGCCAACGGGATACCAATTCAACTAGCATGCGATAAATAAGACTCATTTATCCTACGAACGGTACCCGAAACATCAAACTAGACTAAGGCACGATAAACGGAGTCTGTTGGGACACCACGAGGGTCAGGGAAACATCAAACGGAGGAAACCACCATCCCGATGTGGGAAAACCAGCGGGTGGAGGACCACCCGCCGGCGGCGTGAAACCGGGCAGCGGGTGCCCGGCGGGCAATCGCTTGCCCGCCGGCTGCCCGCTGCCGGCGACGCCCGAATGGGGAAGCGGGTAGGTGGCGGGTTTCCCCTACCCCCACCTACCCCCCACTGACTCTTTATCACAGTAAACGTCCCGGGGTCCTTTGTGGAACCCGAAACCATGCTTAGACACTTTTAAACGCAATTGATGACACCACGTAGACAATTATCGGATCAAAAGCAAGAATCATATAGCACATATCCTATCATGACTTGTAAACATAATCAACACCTGAACATGCGATATCCCACCCAATTATATCAAGAACAACACAATATGAAATTCCCAATTTTTAACCTAGGGCTTTAATCATATTCAAATCAATAAAATCATAGTTCTTCTTTTAATCATCAAAACATCAAGATTCATCAAGAACATCACATAATCATCAAGAACCTCTTATCATCATCAGGATCATCAAGATCACACATAAAATCATCTCACAATCATCAAGAACATATCATCAATATCATGAACTATTCATCAAGACACAAGTATAGAGAGGAGGCCAAAGGAAATAATTATAGTAAGGAAAATAGGTTTTGTTGAGACATGGGTTACCTCTTAGCATTAATTAATTTCCTTGGCTATGAAGTGTCTTTCTTTAAGATTCCTTCTTTCATGATTTCTCCTAGGGGAATTCTTGGAACTTCTTGTGTGGTGAGAGATTATTTGTGGTGTGACTTCTAGGTGCCTCCTATGTCCTTATATATATATATATATATATATATATATATATATATATATATATATATATATATATATATATATATATATATATATATATATATATTTTTTTAAGAGTCCTAATTAGGGTGTGAATGGTATGGGTTTACTAATCATATTCCTTATAGGACTAAGGACTTGTTTTAGGGATAAGGGTCCATGGTCCATAGTAGACCATATTAATTAATTAAAGAGAATCCTAATCATAATCTGAATAGTAAAAGGCCTACTTCCTTTATTCCTAATAGATAAATAGGTGTAGGATTCCTAATTAGAATCTGACTAGTAAAAAGTTTACTTTCTTTATTCCTAATAGGCTTAAAACTCTAGTTTAGGCAAGGGTCCACAATTCATGGTGGACCTTATTAATTATTTAGAGGGAAACCTAACCAAGTTAAATCATATTTAATTATTAAAGGCCGTAACACGCAATTTGGATAGAGATTGTTGTTGGCTTCATTTCAGTTATTTCCAACTTCTTAAAAAGAGTTAAAGGCATAAGGTTAATACTGGCACCCAGATCACATAAGCATTTATCAATAACAGTATTACCAATAGTGCAAGGAATAAAAAAACTTCCTGGATCCATTAGCTTAGGAGGTAATTTGCTTTGTAGAATAGCACTACACTCCTCATTTAGGTGCACAGTAGCAAACTCTTCCAATTTCTTTTTATTAGACACAATTTCCTTAATGTACTTGGCATAAGATGGCATATTGGCAAGTGCTTCTACAAAAGGAATATTAATCTGCAATTTTTTAAAAACCTCCAAAAACCTCTTAAGGTTATTATCCTGGTTCCTCTTTTGTAACCTTTGTGGGTATGGAATGGGGGGTACATAAGGTTTTACTGTAGAGGAAGTGAGGTTTTGATCACTAGAATTCTCTTTAGGAACTTGCTCTTCTTCTTTATCACTCTCTTTTTCAACACTCGTGGGTTCTTTTTCTTTCATAACTTCATTCAATATCTTACCACTTCTCAAGGTGACAGCCATAGCTCCTTCCTTAGGGTTTATTTCAGTGGTACTAAGAAACTTACCTCGATCTTTTTCTGCAACCAATTTAGCCAACTGACCTACTTGCACTTCTAAATTATGAATGGATGCTTGGTTAGACTGAGCAACCTTATCAATCTTTGCATCCATTTTCTTCATCATCGTGTCCTGGCTAGCCATGTATTGCATGAACATCTCTTCCAATTAAGGCTTCTTCTCCTGAGCAGGAAGTTGAGACTGTTGTGGTGCAGGTGGCTGCTGGAAAGGTCTATATTGCTGATGCTGGAATCCTGATGGCCCTTGTTGCTGAAATCCAGGTGGTCCCATTGGTCTTGCATTACCTTGATCTCTCCATGAGAAGTTAGGATGGTTTCGCCAACCTGGATTATAGGTATGGGAAAATGGATCACTCCTTGGTTGTTGCCTACCCATATCGGATCCCATGTAATTAGCTTCCTCATAAGATGGTTGTGATGACTCTGCATTCATACAAATAGAAGAATTATAACCATATGCATTGCAAAAAGCACAAAATTCTCTATTCGAACTATCACGAGTCATCAACAAGTTAATCTGTTTAGTCAATTCAGCCATTTGTGTTATCAACTCAGATTGTGTGCTAATCTCGTGCATAGCAGCTATTCGACCTCTCACTGCCTTTTGTCGAGAATTAGTAGCTAAGCTCTCATAGATAACTTCTAATTCATCACTATTTTTATCACCTGTGTATCCACCTGCAACAATATCTACAAGAGACTGACAATTAGGAGTTAAACCATCATAAAAGAATTGTGTCAACAATAACAATGGGAATTGATGGTGTGGACATTGGGTCAAAAGCAATTTAAAACGATCACATGCCTCATGAAACAATTCACCCTCTCTTTGAGTAAAAGTGCATATTCTACTCCTATAGTCCATTGTCTTTTGAGATGAATAATATTTATTATTTAAACATGAAAGCATTGTAAACATCATCCCAAGTTCTTAAAGAACCCTCTGGTAAATTTAACAACCACTGCCTAGCATCACCCCTCATGCAATATGGAAAACATTTCATTCTAAGCTCTTCTTCAGATAAATTATTCAAAGGTAAAGTTTGTACCGTACTATAGAGCTGTCGCATGAAACCCAACGCATCTTCACTTCCCAAACCGTTAAAGGTAGGGAGCATATTCAGATGGAAAGTCTTCAATTCATAATTTCTAGCTGCATAAGATAATTGAATGCAAGAAGGATTAACAGATATTACCGGTCTTTGGATGTCTTGAAGACGTGGTTGAGCTGCTTGATTGTGAGGAGGTGGAACTATTGGTGGTATGGGGTCATCCTGTTGACCCACTCTATTGTTTTCAGCTATTTCAAGCCGCCTTCGTACCCTGTTATTTCTACAAGTACGCTCAATTTCAAGATCAATAGGAAATAATTCAGCGCTTGTATGCCTTAGTGATCACCTTAAGTTCATAAACAAACAAAATAAAAATAGAAAAAATAAATAAATAAAAATAAAATGATAATGAACCTAACAACAAAAATAAATTTAAAGAGAAAAACATAAGAAAACAGTTCAATAAAAGTTTCCCGGCAACGGCACCAAAAACTTGATTGATATAATCTGCAAGCGCACAGAATCAATCATAGTATAAATTCATGGAGTATTCCAGGGTCGATCCCACGAAGAACACTATTAACGTTTGGTTCGCTGGAAAATATTTGAAGGGAAATGGAATTGAAATTCCATGGAAAATAAATTCCAAGAAAATAGATTCCATTGTTTGGTTGGTGGAAAAGAAATTACTGGGAATATGAATTCCATTGTTTGGTTGAGTTTGGAATGGTAAGGAATAATGTGTATAATGACAAATATAACCCTACACAACAATAATAATATAATAATAATAATAAGAGTAATTAATAAAGAATGGTGAGGGTAAAATTGACATATTAGTTTTCCGTGGAAAACCTTTTCCATGGAAAACAAAATACCTAACAAAAGCTAGGAATTTGTTTTTCTTATACTCAAGGAAAACTTTTTCCAATGGAAAATGTTTTCCATCCAACCAAACAACATAAAACATCATTTTCCTTCACTTTTAGGAAAACATTTTCCATGGAAAATGTTTTCCATCCAACCAAACACCCCTTTAACTGTTATCCTAAATAATCAATTTGTTGATATGGAAAAACGCAAATAAATAGAACTAATGTAATTAAAAAGAATATTTATGAATTTTAAGCAAAGAAAATTCCAATCGAGAGAAGACTAGGGATTTGGGGTTCACCTATTAGCTAATTAACTAACTCTCCTATATATTGATTCTTATGATTATAGTGACAATTGCTCCATATATATCCTAATACTCCGTCGAGCTACAAGGTTGTATTCAATTAACTGTGATCATCCGTCGATATCTCACCAACATTAATTGAACCCATTAAATAACAATCAAATATCACCACAAATACCTAAAGCTATGTCTAATTTAGGTCAATTGTGTTTATCTTACGAGTTCTAGGTTCATAATTCACCTGTCAGTTCTTCTTATGAACCCTAATATTAGAATTATGCAATGGCCAGTCACACAATCAACAATTAAAATACATAAAACAAATATAATCAAGTTCAATTATTAAAATTGAAATTGAAAGAATCTAACACATGAAAAATAGTCAATTAATCTAATCTAGGCTAATCCAAATCCCTAATTACAGTTCTAGCCAATAATCATCGAATGTTTAAGAAACATTATTCTGGAAATTTAAACAAGAAATAAAATAGGAAAGGAAAATAATTCAAGTCTAAGAGATGATAGCTGCAATTGAAGCTCGAAAATTTATTGCGATGGAGTCTCGGATTTTCTCGCTGATGATCTATGCACCGAAGACGCTGCTGCCGCTCCCAAGCTTTTATTTTCCACTATTCTTTTTCTTTCTGCTTTCGTCTACTGCCGTCTCTCCAATCATAAGCCAAAAACAACGCTGTTAGGAATATATTGTATAAGTTTTGATGAACCAAATGTATTTTGTAGACCCCAATTTTATTTTATTTGAGTCAGTTCTGGTTCACCAAGAATAGTGCACCACTGCCATGAAGCCTACATGAAGTCTACGAAAAAGCAGTTTTTAAAGAAGAATAAATGAAAGCGGGATCATAGCTTAACAGATTTATGAAGCATTAAGTTACCAAAGGTTGAGATGGACGAGATGGTAGAAGACTTGTTGAAGCATGCTTAATGCCAGATGATCCACAGTTTGATTCTCATTAGAAGCAATTTTGGTGTAAAGATGAATTGCTATCGTGAAGTAGCAATATAAGGAGATGATGTCATCATGATAGTAATATCAGGATATACTATCATGAAAGAACAATTTTTATCATGATAGTTGAGAATTATCGGGTGATGACGTCACGACTATCGGGTAATGACATCACAATGTGATAAAGCTAGTAGAGAACACGTGGAGGAGATAAGTCAAAAGAATTTATGTCTTGGATTGTATCAATTGGATACCTAGCCAAGATGGAAGAAGCCTTGTCAAGTAAAGCAAATGGTCCACAGTTTGATTCCCACCTGAAGCGATTTTATGAATTCATGATATTGGTTCATGACACACAATGGAACGTGATACATGGTCCATGATACAAGGTGGAACATGATAGCTAGCTCATGATATGAAATAGAACATGATATATATGGTCCATGAAACAAGGTGGAACATAATATATATTCCATGATACAAGGTGGAACATGATATATATTCCATGATACAAGGTGGAACATGATATGCTATTGGGACATGACTTCATCAAAAGGAGCTATGACATCATGATAGAATTAGACAGAAACATTATTTTGAAGCTCTGTTTCTGCAGAAGAAGTCGAAGGAGAAGAAGAAGCTGATATACGAAGGAGATCTTTTTAATACTCAAGCAAGAATCAGCAGATAAATTATTTGATCAACTTGGCACATCAGATCAATAATTCAACAAAAGTCATGCCAGAGAAAATTCAAATTTGGAGGCTACCCATTCCAAAGAAAAGCTTTGTCAGATTAAAGGAGAGCAACGACAAGATTTCTCAAAATCTTCTGACAGACGGCGAAATGATTTTTGCAGACCAAGTTGGCAAAATTAATTGATCAACTACAATTCAAAATGGACGATCGAGATCGAAAGTTGATCAACGGGCAAATAGCTTTCATCTGCTATAAAATGCCCAAGCAGACTTGAAGACAAGGGGCGATCAACGAATCTAACAGAGATTCAGAAACGACTTGAACAAGAAAATTATCCAATCAATCATCAAGTGATATATTGAGCTATACACGATCAAATTCAAGTCTGAGTGAGAGAAAAATCTTTGTATTTTATTGTAAATCTTCTACTGAGTGTAGAAAAGGGGTAGAGTAACTAGGGAGAGTGAAAAACCCAGTTGGAGTGTAGCTTTGTGCGTAGCACTCGTGGTGTAGGAGTACAGCTTGGTGCGAAGTACTCGGGAAGGCGGAGTAACAAGAGGAGCTTGCGAAAAACCTTGGTGGAGTGTAGCTTTGTGCGAAGCACTCGGAGAAGTGTCGTTTCGTTGGGCACTTATTCACTATTGTATCTGGGTGATTGAAGAATAGTGAATTTCCTCCTTGAAGTGAAAGGAGAAGAGTGGACTAGGAGGATTACACCACCTCTGAACCACTATAAATCTCTCTCTCTATTTACTTACTGCTCATATATATTTCGTGCATGCCTATATTATTTGTGAACTAACCCGTTACGGTTTATTGCGTATCTTTATCTGTCTGGGTTTGATAGTTCCCTCGTTTGCATGCAAGTGAAATTTTATATACATCATCCTACATCTATATCAAGTGTTTCTAACGTGATGCATGTATAGAATCTCTCTTGAGCACGACACAATTTAAAGCATAACACTTTGCCGTTACAATTCCGCTGTGCACACTCTAAGTTGTTATACTTGTTTATGCTTGTTACTTAGAGTTGAAGTTACAAAGTGTAGTTTGCAGAAGTAGTTTGAAAAAGTTAGAGAAGTCTATTCACCCCCCCCCCCCTCTAGACTTCTCACCAACCTTTCGGGACCAACAAACGCCTTTTTTTTTTTTTTTTTTTTTTTTTTTTTTTGTTTCCGCCGAACCCATCAGATATACAACCAAAGCAACCTTAATCTCTA